CCTTATTTCCAAAGGAAGGGAATTAAAGCAAGGTTGAGGCATTGTGTTTATTAGCCCTCTGTCATCTTCTGTCCTCAGGATTGGATCATCTCACTCTCCATGTCCAACAGCACCTAGCTGATCCCCATTTCCTCTAAGCAAAATAAAGGTGGGTATGGAGACTTACTACCCTGTGCATGTACACAAATATCATGCACATGTATCATACACATGTATATATGAACATACTTCCACATATATGTGCGCATATGTATATACCCATGTGTATATGTATTTGCATTCATACATATATGGTCTGCACCTGTGATTTTACTCAGAAAGGAAGCTAACTCCTTGTGAAGAAAATCCTTCTGCCAGTGTAGATCAGTAACTGTTTTGTAACTTAAAGAAAGCAGCATGGTGAAGGAGACAGTGAGCTGGCTCCAGAATCATGAAGACCTTCTTCTTCCACATACAGACTTTGTGATTCTGAGCACATCACTTTATTTCTCAGAGCACCAGTAACTCCCTAGGAATGGAGGTTGCAGAGCAAGTGCTGATCTAAATTGGTGGAGGGATTTCCTCTTCTGGCAGTTGTGTATACCATTGAAATTACAGGTCCTATAAAAATAAGGTCCTATATTATCTTCCCCCCCATATATATGGGACTAGGAAATTCCAAAGGGGACACTTTTTTTCTACCAAATATTTTAAGTACCATCTCTGTAACTCTACAGGCAATCAATCTCTCTCTTTCTCTCACACAATACCATTTATTATATGTTCAGAGTACAGGTACGCCTCTGTCCTATTTGCTATTCAATCTGGCAATTGTTTCTCCTGTTAGCCTCTACATGCTGGTATCCCAAATAGCCCTGATTCTTTCCCACTGGTTTTCTGGGGAGTCCAACACTGGGTAAGCTGTATCATTCAGTCTAAACAGATATTTTCCTGGCCAGGTGCTGTGTTTCCACTGGCAGAAATTGGCTTTATCTGTTTCACTTCTTTCAAGAAGTTGCTGCCAGACAGACAGAGAGGCAGACAGACAGACACAGACTTGACTGCCCCCTTGTGACATTTCCGGTGAGTAGAGGAAAATCTCTCTCTCTCTCTCTCTCTCTCTCACACACACACACACACACACACACACACACACACACACACACACAC